AGCCGCTGGCCAGTAATGGCTGTTATTACCACTAGCGGCGATAGCAAGGGTTACCCGACATTCCTCTCCTATTTTACATTCACATCAGGAATTTCACAAAATAGCGTGCTCCAGAATGCAGGCAACAGATGCTGCGGCGTACGAGTGCCAGTTCGTGTGTGCGAAACGGTCAAGACATCGAAGTGTCGCCGCTTTCCTCACACAGTCTACTAAGTTTGTAACCTGACGACTGTAGCATCGGATTCAGTGTTGGCGACGAAATCGCATTGACTACTGTCGCCATCTGCGACCTAGAGACATCGACACTCGCGTTGCGACGTCTGCACGCATGCCCACCTGCGTGAGAATCACCGATTGCCTTATTTCACACCCCAGAGTGCGCACGCTGCGCTTAAATAGATAATCATTTTTTACGACACTCGTTCAAATGCTGCGTGTTGGCGTCGACATTCCACACTCTTCCCGAGTCACCATGACAAAATCGTGTACAGCAGCACTTGACGCCTGGCACAATCCTATTCCACACCTCGAACAACCGACCTCGAAGCCTTGCAAATACAACCAAACATTCGGGAGCAAGGGATCGCGTGACAGGTCGATCTGTGGTTGTCTGAAACATTGTAGTGTTGAGAAAAAGAGTAGGTTCGAAGAGGATGAAGTGAAACAGCCATTTTCTCACATCTTTAGGCGCTGCTGAATAGCGCTGCGCAGTGAAAGCTGTAGTGTATAAACTGAGCTAGCATCCCTGAGCAGGTTCTACGTGGCGCTGTCAGAAGTCCGCCAGCTCTATCCGGAGTTCCAAGAGGGTTAAGGAAAATATGGATATCTATCTAGCGTCCGCCATCGTCCACCAGCAACCAGCAGCGTCCGGGAGTACCGTATTGTGTAGTAGTGCAGTGCGGTTGCAGACGCTACAATTTCGAGGCGACTAATGCAGCTGTCTCGTCCGTCCTTCTTCCCCATACTCTAACAGCAGTCTGCTACCCTGTTACTGTCTCATACTCCCTACTTCTGGTCGCTGATGAGTAGACGCTAAATTGATTCCATACTTCCAGTTCCTCGGGACGCTGATGGTCGCTGGCGGACGCTGGTAGACGCTGGTGGAAGCTGGTAGACGCTACCATCCGCAGTGTTGATATCTTTACTTTCCTAGTCCCTGACGGACGCCCTAAACGCCGATGGTGACCCCGGCGTTAACACATTGAACTAGGTGGCCAGGCGCGAGTTCCAGTCATTGCGGTTCTACTTTACGCAGCTTCGCCGTATCACGGATTTCTTGCTCCGCATCCACTTACGGTGAGCAGGCTACCAAAGAGCGTTCTACTGCTCTTCTCACATAATCGACAGTGCTCTCACCTTATGTTCTGCTGAGAAAGCCACGTGCCCAGAGTCTTTTTCATCTTGCTTGTGTTTTTGGCGGGATTTGCCCATCACTGTAAAAGCACACTATTGTTGGCGAACTCTTCAGCAGTTACAGCTAGCTCACCTACTAGGAACAAAAGCACGAGTTGAATGAACTCTACACACCCTCTTACTCGGAAATTATGCACTAAAATGAACGTCCTTATCACGGTCTACAGTACCTTATCGCTCTTCGCCGCATCCCGTTGCATACTGTATTATAAGCTCCACCCTATTTCTGGCTCCTCACGTTATTGAACCGTTTATCGGAACCGATGCAAACTTAACGACACTTGAATCGAAACTGCAGAGTTCATTTTTTGGCGCTCAGTCTCATTCATGCTTACCAATCGCATATGGGAGCACACAACTCTCATATGATACACATGAAACAGGAAGAATCACGCGAAAAGTCAATAACCAGGAAAAATTTTTTCCCAACGCAGTAAATTGCTCTCGAAGGCACGTACAACCCTCCCCACGACCAAATACGATCCCCCTCCACAGCGGAAATTACGTACCCCAACCCTATGTGTTTCACACAGCGATGAGGTGCCCTGCTAGTGGGTATACTGTGCGACGTTGCGCCTGTGAGAGACGCGATGCGGCGTCGTAGATTCGACAGCAGGCATAATCGAAAATAGCCATAAATGCCACGATGCCGTAACAGATATGAAATCCGGTGCTCCAATCGATAGGCTGACGAACAATAAGAAAATGCCGCACAGGAACAGTCTCTGAACACTCTGTCGTACCGCGGTACATGGCCTTGTAACGTGACTCTTGGCCGACACTAATGAAACGTTGGCAGGAAGGCGTGCAGGAGCGCTAAATTGCAGCATATGAAGATTGCACAGATGTGGTCAACGTACGTTCTGGGTCTGCCGCATTCTTCAAGAATTTCGCTCCTATATGAACAGTTAAATGCTCTTCTTAAAGACAATTATCGCGATCAAGTATTGCGGGCAATTGTACTCTGTCATGCACCAGTATTCCATAGTTAGCTTCTCAGTAGAAAAAGAAGCAGAAAAATCTTCGGGAACACCTTGAACCCAAACCTACCTTTAGCAGTGGGGGCGGGGCCTGGACGAGTGTGCCGGGCGTGGCTGCCAGAATTCGATGCGGCAGCCGCAATTGCGTCCCAACTTTCGAAATAGGATACTTTCGAACGTAATACTCATCCCTCGCCGCCTTTTCTTCATTCCTTCTTCTCTGCCTTCTTGTTCCTTTCCTCTTTCTTTTTCTATGTATGCTTTTTCAGGAATTTGCGCTTCCAGCCACCGGTCGGCGAGCGCCTTCGAGATTGGATTGATGCCGGGGAAGCGAAAGTATATTGAGGTATGGATATTCTACTAAGAACAGTTTCGAAAGAAATTAATGCGATAATCCCCACTCGAAGTCATATTGTCGTCAACAAGAAAGCGAAATGACAACAAACCCCACTTGACAACAAATCTCCCTACCATTGGAAAAGCAAGCACTACATTCCATAAGCAAAAAAAACTCTAATGGTTCCGCACTTTCACACATGTTTACAAGCCTGACCGAAGTAAGACCTTTAGCTGAGCTATGAGCCAACTTTGGCAAAATGCCAGTGGGACCGCGGGCTTAAAGGGACGCGCGGGCTTTAAAGGGACGGATGCAGTTCGGGACCAGACGCCTCGTCCACCTACCGTCTCCGTGAGCCTAGCGAGCCTTGTCGAAATTGCGATAACTTCCTCATCGCGCGCCATTGATGGATAAAAGCGGGATCATCTTCATCAAGGCGCAGAGGGTTCCAGAAGGCGCGAAGTCATTTTGAAGGCCTCTCGAGCGCGGATACTGTCTTTAATCTCCATGAAGGCGGGCTCCGTGTATGTACTGCCGTCATCCACAGTCAAAGGGCAGCAGACGGCTGCGGCAGCGACCGCGTCACGACCACGGCGACCAGCTGTTTCCACCTATTTTCTCCCTAATTTTCGCTTTATTTTCCATTTTTTTCAGAAAAATGAAGTCAGAAAATGACTAAACCAGGCCGGAACAGATGTTCGCCGCCATAGTTCTTAAACACGCGGTCGCCACTGCAGCCGCGTCTGCGACCCTTCGACGACCGCCTAATCAACTGCACGGATGACGACTATACCACTTTTGCAAATCAAAAGTTCATGGGGAAAGCGCGACGAAGATAACGCCCTGCACCTTACCCAACCATTATTGATGCCAACACCACCGTTCAATTGTGAAGCATTTCTGGTTGTGGGGTTGCTTCCGCTACTAGCTCTCCCTCCGCTTGAATGGAGAGTTGAAGTGATAAGGAGTAAGAGCTGACACCAACATTTGAAAACTCCTTCGACAACGCCCTTTCTTTGCCTTATGCACGGTCCATTCCTGATGATGTGACTGACGTGATAGGTGTTATCGCGGAAAATCGATAAGATGCCGGATATTAGTGCTTATTGCGAGAAATCGAATCTCTTATGTAGCCGTTTATTTTAGGTTGAGTTAAGGTAAAGCTGCGTTCATACCTTGCAGCAGTGTCCATCAGAGACCATCAGCGTTTCTAGGAAAGCGTGATATCGATCTAGCGAAATGCAGCATCCACAAGCGTCCACCAGCGACGATCAGCTTCTCGAGGGACTAGAAAAGTATGGATATCCATCTAGCGTTCACAAGCATCCACCAGTGACAAGGAGTAGAGAGTGTAGGAGTAGGAGTGTAGTTGACTGCTGGTAGAGGTGGAGTATGGGGAAGTAAGAGGGAGGGAGACGGCTGGATTAGCCGTCGCGAATTTGTGCGCATGCCGCAGCGTACTACTGGACGATACCGTATTCGTTTTCGCCGGTGGACGCTGGTAGACGCTTAATCGATATCCATACTTTTCTACTCCCTTGAGACTAGGACATTCACCAATTTTCTCAGCCCAAATGCGGCCCCCACATTTGGGCTGAGAATTTTCTTTGGTTGGTTGATTTCTGTTATTTCAGGGACGTTGTAAAGGGAGGGGGTCGTACTTACTACTTGTTGGGAAGGGAGGGGTTTGTATTCCCCCTCTTAGAAGGTTGCTGAGGGGAAGCTGAGTTTTTGTGCTTCCCCCCTCCCTCGACAGCAAAAGTTTTATGTGAAAGTAGGAAAATTTGTGCGAAATTCTGGAAAAAGTGGTAGGAAGTTGGAGAAAATCTGAGAAAGTGGTCGGTATCATGGGGAAAGGGGTCTCGTATTTCCTCGCAGATTAACACCACCCCCCCCCCCGCGCGCTCGCTCGACAGCCTCTGATTAGAGAAGGGAACTAGCAGGACGAGAGTCACTACCACCCCCCCGTGTCTAAAATAGGGGGCGGGTCGTACGGACTCGACAAGAATCCCCAATGAATGATGTGCCCTGCTTGAGACGCTCACGATTCGCTGTTGGTGCTGGTGGACGCTGCTGCAAACGCAGCCTAACGATTCCAAAATACGTTGTAACTCTTGACTCGATCCCTATCCCTGGATGAGCCAGACAAACGCCTTCTAAAGTTTTTTGGAAACGAGCAAGCAGTCCGCTCACAAAAACCTTTGATGGATGTCCTAAACGTTTATTGAATAAGTATACTCTTTTTAAAGTTGAGCTTCAGTTCTTCCACGTTATGAGAACGACATTCTAAAAGTAATCTTTTCAATACTATTTCGTAATTCGAGGAAGCTCTCGTATACAAACACACTTTGGGGCTTTGTTGAAGAACGCAAACGTCACTGTTGGTATTGAGTTCATAGCTGAACAGGTTTGCACTCATCATTACAACTACAGTTTAGACTCAATAAAAAAAACCAAACCTTTGCCTATCGTGGGGAAGAGAACTGATTCGAAGCGTTGCGTTCTCACTTGGTAACCCAACATTATATTCTTTCACTTCTGTCGTAGACGTCTGCAAATGCTGTTCGGAAACTAGGCAATTTATGGTAATGTACAGTTGATATCGTCGCAACCAAACGGCGCGGTTTCTGGAGGAGTGGAATGGGCCCGCTCCGCGTTTTTACCTCTGGTTATTTTCTTACCAAGCTGACCGCCAACGGATCAACACTGGTAGCGCAAGGAATTCGGCGGCGGGCTCATTCTGCCCCTGACACCGCCCCAATTTGATTGGGACGCTACCACACCCACTCATCACTATTCCCTCCAATTTACGGCTCATCCACCCCACTGAAACAACTCACTAATCTCGTAGTCACGTGGTGCCTAAAGTTTTTATCACAGGCGCACATTGAGGAATCCTCAATAGGGGGGGTGTCGTATTTGGTCGCCAGGAGGGGGTCGTATTTGGGCTGAGAAAAATTTATTTTGATAGTTGATTTTTCTCGCTTCATGGACGTTGTAAAGGGAGGGGGTCGTATTTGATCATTTTTGGGAGGGGGTCGTATTTACGTTTTGGCGTTGTGGGAGTGGCGGTTGACTTTTGGTGATTTTCCTGTTTCACGTACTATATGCCCCCCCCCGCTCGACAGCAAAATTTTTGGTAAAAAGTAGGGAAGTTTTCGGGAAATTTTGGAAAAAGGGGCAGGGAGGACAGAGGAAGGAGAGAGGAATGGCCGGGGGGGTGTACCAACATCCAAAAAAGGGGGGGCGGTATAGAGTCGACTAAAATCCCCAACCAGTGGTGTGCCCTATCACAGAAGTCGGTTGAGGCGTGTCAGCGGGGTACGGGTTTTGGCGGAGCGCCAGCCGTTGTCAATCTCTTCCAGCTTCTGAGCGTTTCATACGAGTGTTGCGTAGAGGAAGCTGACAAACGCAAAACCACTTAGTCGCTGACACGCCCGAATGACTGCAGCGATAACGTCATGTGTGTTACGGGACCAGAGAATGTGAGAGCATGCGAAGGACATCGTGGAATGGAAAAGGCAGGTCAGGTGGCCAATGAACATTGGGTGCCATATTAAAAGGGCCTGTACAGAGAATCGACAGCTGGCCAAAGCCTAGAAACGTGGTTAGAGAGTTATAGATAGAACATATGGTTTGTGCGTAGACGTGGGCAATAAATCTGTGCAACGCAAATAGGCTCGCTCGTCAGTATGATCGGTGGTCGGGCTATACAGCGGAATGAGTGCGCGGACGTGTAAATATACTGCCTGATATGGCCTCGCAATCGGCGGGTGCGATTACCAGGAGGGATAGAATGATCCCCATGCGGCCAATGCCCAGCATTGGTTGCTTTCGTAGAATCAGTTACTGGACCAATCAACTATTGGCTAGAAGCAAGGTAAGCCATAGCCAAATCCCGTTACCGCCCCCCCGCCCCACCCCCTTTCTTGACTGAGCCCTGCGATTGCGACGGTTATCATACTAATATTACGTGGAGGATTGCGCGTGGCCTTCCGCCAAAATGAAACTAGTGTTAATTACACCATTACGATCAGAGGCGGAGCATAGCTTTGCTGATGTTATTTGAGCCCACTTGCTCCGCTACAGTGACCAGTTACCGTCCCTGCTGCGGTAAGAGGGTGTCTGTCATTCGATGGAGGCTCCGTAATATTCAATTGAAACCTGTAGAAATAACGATCACTGACTAATGAACTGCGGGTGACGTTTTTCTTCACTTCCGATGACGAAACGCTTCGCTTGAGCTATGCGACGTTGGGACTTTACCAGAAGGTTTGGTACTAAAATAGTGTTGTCTGATAGAGAAGCTACTAACAAAAAGTAGCACTGGCGCTGTGCAAATCAGAAAAGGCCAGTCTCAAGAGGGGCTGAGCTATGGAACATCACCCCCGGTCAGGCAATGCGGTAAGTGACTTGGAAGATAAAGTCCACACGCAGTACAGGTGCCTTTTTGAATCGGTGGAGTCCTACTTGGGATGCTGCGTACGTCACACTGGTCGCAACGACTATTTGCCGCGATTGGGAAATATCCTCACACCGAAGTGAAGCCTGAGAATGTTCGCTTCGTCTGGGACCCTCCCACCGAGCAGCGGGCCGATGGACCTCACAGAATTTTAAGTAACGTCAGAGCGACGTTATCTCCCACCGCCATCCTCCCTCCTCTCACTCGATCCCAGAGCTGTACTGGGCGTGGCTACGGACGTCACTCGGACCGGGTAGCGGCTCTGCTTTTGGTGAGCTATCGCCCTCTTGGGACAACTTAATCATGTTTTTGTGCAGCACTAGACGGTTGAAAGCTGCCTCAAATGCGAATGTCCTGGAAGAGCATCCCACGTCACGTTCAAACGGAGTACGCAACCACGCCCTCCCTTCTTTGAGGTATGGAGTTTTGGCAGAATGACGCAGCTTTGTCATATCGGAACATGACGAGGCTGAGGGTGAGACTCGCTGAAAAGTCGGAGACGAACAGAAGAACCGCAATTCGTCGAGATGTCGCCTGGCGATGAGCGCGGGAAATTTTCTATGTGCGGTGTCACCCAGCAATGGGCGAGGAAAATTCAATTTGTGCCCCAGTTTCTCGATTGGAGCAGCAAGACCCGCGGGGAACTGTTGCATTTTTTGCATTTTTTTTCTTATCTCCCCACATGTTTCACGTATTTTTGATCATTTCCTACCGTCCGTTGCTGTCATGACTGACACCAAAGCACTTCAGCATCTTGAGTAGTCATTCCGTCCCTTTGATACTCGGGTTCGAATAGCAAAGCAGAACTCGTTTTCGCGGCGCATTTTGTGTCCCTTGGAAAGATACCCCTGAAAGTGGCTTTTTCTGAAGCACAATTGCGCCTAAAAAGCTCTGACACAGTGGATAAAAGGTTTGTTTCAGATGTTCAGTTGCTTCTGCGGTTACAACAAGGGACATTTGGTGTTTGTCTCAGACTTACGTGTCTGGGAAAGTATAAATGATGTGTTCGTCATCAATTCTCAAGCCACGTGTGTTCAATTCAGCTAATGTGATGGGGCTGAAATGTGCAGCATTAATTTAGCCCTCTTCGATTGCGCAACCCGCGATGAACAAGGGTAAGGGCATCATGACCAACGTCTAGCGCGCTGTATGGCCCACAGCTTAAGCTGTTTACTCACTCGTCGTTATCTATTGGTGGTCCTTTTGGATCTCCACCAGAGAGTCCTCTTTTGTATGTGTTTTCTCGGGGTGTCACGTGTGATCTTACCCCGTTTGAGGAGAGCTATTTCATCGAGAAATTGCCTGTAACGATTGCTGGATTCACAGAGATTTGTAATAGAAGCCTAATGAACTCAAATATTTATTCTGTAACTTAAACATACGATTTGTTTGAATCACTACTGCAGGATAACGTAGGCATTGGACTCTGGATTATAAGTATCGAGCGGTACCTTTGTATTCCTGAAAAAAAGGAAAAATTGTGAAATACGGACGCATCTGGATTGGATCAGGTTTCTCTTTCTCTTTCTCAGAGTCGTGTAGAGCAAAGGCTTTTTGCAGGTTTCCGATAGGTTTACTTCGCTGTTTTGCCATTCTCCCACTAGACAGCCTCCTTCCTCTATTTAACACCGAGTACCAAATTGTGGTGGTTCATGCCTTCAAACCGCCTGATTAACGCATGAATGATGAAGACTTCGAGGCCTCCAATGAGGGAGGTTATATGCTTTATTGTTCTCGCCCCTCCGTCTCTGCATGTGCTACGGCTCCAAAAATGCTTTGCATTATACGAATACCCGGGAGCGACCCATTTCATAATATTTCTCCTTTTTAATGAACGTTTGCCAATGTCTGGTGCTTATCACATTTAAAAAAACACCCACCATTCGCTGGAAATAGGACGGCTTAGCGGTTGAAAGAAATTCGGTGGTAACAATATAGAAATCTTAGTGAAAGTTCGTTATATCCTAGCGCTTCCGTTGAGCAGCTTTAAGTATCCGTCTGCTGGTGGCTCTTATCACTCCTCACTGACAAACATCTTTAGACTTTCACTTTTGGGTGAAACTCTAGAGTTTAGCGGTCGAATCAATTTCGACTATATCGCTGAGGAATAGAAACATGTTGGCTCACTAAGCCTTTGCCCATTGACCTGGAGGCTTCCTCTCTGACTCACCTTTCCCATCCTGCCTCCTATATCACTGGTTGCAACCAAGTCCTACCGTCGCTGCGACGCACGTTATGAAGTTGGTGATAATCCCTTTCTAGGGCCCTTACGGTATCTTTTCAGCTGTTATCACTTCCTGCCACCCACCAATGATGTTCCCATCCTGCTAGCTATCCTACGTGGAATCAACGTCTAGGCGTTGCTGCGGCCGGCGCTATGAATTTGGTGACCCTCCCCTTCTAAGGCTCCTTATGGTATCTTATCAGCTGTTATCACTTCCTGCCACCCACCAATAATGTTCCCATCCTGTCCCCCATCTTACTTTTTGGAACCAACGTTCTACAGTTTCAGATAAAGTTGGTGATCCACCCCTTCTAAGACCCGCTACAAAATCTTATCAGCTGTTATCACTTCCTGCCACCCATCAATAGTGTTCCTGCCTCAACCACCTACATCACTTAATAATTTGAGTCTCTATCGCTGTTTTGAAAGAGTTATGAATTCGGTCAAACGCAATTACACACAGTTACATACAGACACACACCTACAGACAAACTTAGCGGATTATTTATAGTAGGACCTCGTGAATAGGAAGTGCGTGGAAATGCAGCTGTAGGCTAGTGATATTAGGTTGTCCGGAAAGTTCTCAGCGTTTTGGGTGTTTCACTTTAAACGATCGTAACTTTTTTAATACTCATCGGATTTAATCGAAATAGGCACCATTCGAATCAGCACACTTTTGCCAATGCAGCAGTCGAGAAATCCCATCAAAGTAAAAAACTGGGTGGTCGAAAATTCACGAAATCCACTAAGGCTTTTTTGCCTGGTCCTGATTGATGAAGTATTTTCCAGCAAGGGAGTTCTGAAAATGTTAGAAAAGGTGATAGTCGGTTGGCGAAAGGTCTGAAGAATATGGCGGTTGAGGTAGAACTTCAACCCAATTCGTTCAATTTATGGATAGTGATTTGTGAAACGTGTGGGCGGGCGTTGTCATGCAAAGGAATCGGACCCTTTCTTTTGATAAGTGTTGGCTGCATCTGACAAAATTTTCGGTACAATTCGTCGATTTCTTCACAGTAGGGTTCTGCTGTGATGGTTTGGCCTGGTGATAAAAAGTTATAGTGGATCACACCAGCCGATGACCACCAAGCCGTGACCAGAATCTTTTTTTCGTGAGGGTTCGGCTTTGAAAATTACCTCGGTGGTTCGTCGAAATCCAACCACTGTCCGGAACGTCTCCTGTTATCATACATGACCCATTTTTCATCACAGGTGACAATTCGGCCCAAAAACAGGTCGTTTGCTGCGCAAAAGCAATGCAGAAGGAACCTCGAGACGTGCCGATTCCTGCCGGTCACTCCGATTGTGGGGCACCCAATTGTCGAGTTTTTCACCTTCCCAATGCGTTCCAGACCATCTGCAACAGTGGATTTGCCAAGGCCTAGCTCTTCTGCTATCTCTCGAACTGTTTGGGATGGGTCAGCCTCCAAAATCCCCCTAAAATCCTCGTCAGATATTGCTTTAGGTCGACCGCTATGAGGTTCATCTTCAAGGCTGAAATCTCCAGAACGAAATTTGTTGAGCCATTGCCGCACAGTGCTTTCTCTAGCTATTGGGCCCCCACACCTGGTTAATTTGTTGAGCTGTTTCGATTGCGGATTGCCCCAATTTATAGTCGAAGAAAAAATCGTCCGAAGTGCTCTTTTCACATGCTTGAAAAAATCTTGAAAAAAGGGGGTTTATCAAGCAACCAGTCGGATCGCCCGGCTAACGCCGAGCTCTCCTCCTTATTGGAAGCCCGGCTTCGCCGGGCTCAACTGCTCTGAGGCTCACTTCTTAGCTCGTGAAAGAAAGGAGCAAAGTAAGGCATAAGCAGGGCGATACTACTGTCTTAGGCATTCATGATGCTCTCATGGTGACTAACCGCTGTCTTCTAATCAAATAAATGTAGAAACGCGCCATATGATCGCAGGGCACTTTCATAATGAAAAGTTCAAAATCTGGTCATGGATAATCGATTACTCTCCTCCCCATCCTATGACAGCCTTCGGTCTCCGCAGTCGCTGCGTGCTCCTGTTCAGGCGAGCGTCGGTCGCGTCAATATGGTACCCATTTAACTCACCTATCCCCAAACTAACCTCAGCTATTCCCCGCTCAGCCACCCTACAGGTCACGCTCAGCTGCTACACGAATAGCCCGTGCAATGGTTCTGAGTGCACTAAATGGTTGGTTGTGGAGGGTGTCATGACTATCAAAACGCTGCCACAACTTGATAATGCAACATTAATCGGTTCAGTTCCGATTGCGGTCGATCCCTTTTCTTCTCATCTTATGGCAACCGTAGACGCCTTACCGCCGCAGGCGCTATGTGCTCCTATTCGCGAAATCGCCTCATCTGGTACCCCTTCACCACATCATATCCCACTGACCCTATTTAACCGTCGCCCACTCCCACACGTGGTATGCAGCCGCCACGTGAGCAGCTGGTGCAACATAGGACACTACGCCGCCACTGTTCTCGTGCTCACGTCCAGCTCCCAAGCGATCAGCTCCTGCAATAGCACAGAGTCTATCAAAGTGGTAGGCTTAGATAGCGGAGCGATTCAGAATCCAAACAACTTCTTAGTTCGTTGCTGTAACATGGATTAGCTTGCAGTTTTGCTAGCGGTTCTTTCCTTCTCTCTTGCCGCCTGCTCCTATTCAAGCGTACGCTACGCATCCCCTTACTGTACCCAGTTTGCCCGATTCAATCCATATGCCTCCTTCCCCTGCATGGGCTCAGATCCGACTGAGTACGCGCAAGGGAGTGAGGATGGGAGAAGGGGGTCACTCGATACTAACTCCCACCTTCCTCATCTCACCCCATTCCGTACTCGCCACTCCATCCCCCCCCACCACCTTGCTCCTTGCACGCACTTACGTCCAACTGCCACGCGAGCAACCCGTGCAATGGCTCGGAGTGTAGTGGTTTTCTTATGTCGTGGAGAGTGTTATCACATCCAAAACAACTTCTTAGTTCGTTACGGTAACATAGAATGGCTTGCAGTTTTGTTAGCGGTTGTTTCCTCATCCCTTGGTGCGCGTTTCTACTGAAACGCGCGCTACGCACCCCTCACTGTACCCCCCCCCGCGACCCCTTCACTCTGCCTCCTCCCATACATGTGCCCAGCTCCGGCTGAGCACGTGCAGGAGAGGGAGGCAGGGCGACTGGGCACCCCCACCCTGCCCCCGCACGAGCACACGTCCAGCTGCCACGGCAGCAGCTCGTGCAATGGCTCGGAGTGTACCGAATGGTTGTCTTATATAGCGGAGGCTGTTATCACAATCAAAACATTGGATTGCTACATCCTCCCAGTCGGTTACCGGTTTGCCTAGCGGTCGTTTTCTCCTCCAGCAACTCGAACCTTGTAGTATTGCTGCGGACTACAGAGACAAACATCATACATACATTACATACCTAACAAACCTACATACATAATCACAAACCGAACACACAAAAGTACTGCGTTTTTTAGAATGAAAGATGGTGAAACGGCAATTATACCATCAGATAGCGCAAGAAATTCTCTACAGGATGTGCTACTGAGAAGCAAGGCAGAATGAGTTTTTAATCAGCAGTGAATGTACAAAAAATAGGTGCACAAAACGCTGAGAACTTTCCGGACAACCTAATACCTATCATTACCTTGAACCGCTGCTACCATAACCACCTTCCTAGGCTAAATGCGCGCACGAAGGCGCGCGTTACCCGGAGACAAAAACAATCGTAATCATTGCCGCCTGGAAGGCGTCGCGAGCGTATCGTAAACAAAGAGTTCACGTAGATGGGTGAAAACACAGACAATAGCACAGACAAAAAACAGCAATGGGTCTACTTCAGTATACTCGATCCCTGCTCCATTCGACAGCCTGGGCCCACCCACCACACGGACCGGCAGCAATCACGGTTGTCTGAGCGTCAGTAAGCGGGAAGTTAAAGTATCGAAACGTCCACGCCGAGTGTTAACATGACAATTAATGTTACTGAAGCGCGTGGACAAACGGTAGCTATGGCCTGCGGTGCCGAATCTTTCTCGTCAAGCTTTCGGCCGTTGAAACCATAATGAGCGAACATAATGATCGGTCTCTCCTGATTACAATATAAAATCACACGATACGGCTACAGAAATCTTGACATCAAGCGATACGGTTTGTGCTTTTCTCTATTTCTGTTCACCCCCTTCATCTCTACCAATGTCTGATTTGTCGCTTTGAACAAC